CTTCCAGATTCAAAAACTTTCTTAATAATAAAAAAAGTATTGCTAATGTGACTCATTAGAATCAAGTTTCACTTCATATCTTAACATAATTATTTGAGATAAGTATTGAAAACACCCCTAAACTTGACCTGAATTATTACTTTAGGTCTTCAACTACTGACAATCTTCAAAATACTCATCTACTTGATTAGGTGAATTTAAAAACACCACTTTTATGCAACATGCATACATATGAAATTTTTTGTTGACGTGCACACATAGATATATGTAACAAAAAAATATTTGAAGAACATTTAAATAATTAAATGTTAAGAATTCAGCAATTTAAGAAAATAAAAATACTTCTTTCTTTTTTAAAATTTATTTTTTCTTATCACCCCACACCATCCTTTATCCAATAGCCCGCCTCACACCTCACTACCCACTCATCCCAAAAATAAAATCTTTTATTTCTTTCGAAGGAGAGAGGGATGAAATAAGAAAAAAATGTATATATTATCTTAAAAGCAAAAAATGGAGGGGGGGGGGGGAGTCGGGGTAGTTGGTGGTGTTGGATAAAATGTTTTTCTATAAAAAAGAACTTCTAAATTATTTTTTTTGGGGTGGCTGGGGGGTGAGGGGAGGGGTTGCGATACCTAGGCAGGAATGATGTGAGGTAAGAAAAAAATTATTTAATTCTTAAAAAAATCTTCTTTACTAAATTTTAGCATTAAATTATTTTTGGACTCTATATATCTATATGTACGCCAGCTCAATAGAAAATTTCATATATAAGCATGCGTGGATGACATATGACAATAAATGATTTTTCTACTTAAACTCTTCGTTAGTACAATGTAAGACTTTCTTCAAGGTTTAAATATATACCATTTCAATTAATAAATGTATGAAAGAAAAGCTAAAGAGACACTAATAAATGGGGAAAAACTATATAAACGCAATAAATAATTTCATTTCCCTCAAGTTTTGATGTGATCATCTTTATGACTTAAACTAAATCTTTGTTTAGATTATCCAATATTCTCAATGTTATGGGTCATTAGTTATTTAGCTTAAGAAGATGCACATGGTATATACACTTTATTACTTTAAGACTTAAACTAAATCTTCGTTTAGATTATCCAATATCCTCAAAGTTAAGGGTCATTAGTTATTTAGCTGAAGAAGATGCACATGGATACACTTTATTACTTTGTGCTACAACTTAAAAGTTAACACGTTGTATTAGTTTAGCATATAGTATTTAATTTACTCATTCAAATATTCTATTTGAAATTTAGTCAATTGTTTTACTGGTTCTTGATAGTTGTAAATCCCTGCTTTTCCCTTTTGCATTAGTTTTGTATAAAATGATGAGTCCATGGGAAAACTCTCTTTTATTGGCACGAAATATAGACTATTAGATTAAGGTGTAAACCTATCAATTCATAAAAGGTTTCAATTCGAGTGATAGCCCATATAGGTGAGGCGGAAAAGAGTGAAATCTCATCATTTGTTAGACTAAAAGATTAAATTTCAAAATAAGTGAGCTATTAAAATGAAATATTGAAATAGTGAGAATAGATAAAAAAAAAATTAAAATAAACAAGAAATCCCCTCCAATACTCTCCATTAACACTATTTTCTTTCTATATTTGAGACATAAAGATTTTAGTGTCAAATCAACATAGGGAACAACATAAAAACACATTGAACATGGGAAATAATATGTATAGATTCTATATTTGGATAACTGATCGTGACATTCAAATATCTTTCTCTATGTGAAAAGCATGAAATTTAATTTTTCAATCGATGATAAACTAAGTTGTTATTAAGGTGTTGGTGTTCCACTGATTCAAAATAGGTTTTTATGAAATTGCCAACAGATAAGGTACCAAAAGAGAAAATTTAGAAAATAAAAATTTTCTCTCTTGAACACAATTTCATCAATAAACAAGAAGAAGGGTTTGAAGCAAAGCAAAAGTGTATACTTCATTACTAGTTCTAGACAGTAACAAGAGAGAGAGCTAACCATCATGACTAATATAATAAAGTCCCCTTTCCTCAACTGATGATAGCCAGATCTGAGGTTAATTTTTGAAAAATAAGTGATACCTGAAGTTGATCGAAGATATCATCAAGTCTTGAAAGTGGATACTTATTCTTTATAATAACCTTGTTCAACTGACGGTAATCTATACATATTTTAAGAGAACCATTTTTCTTTTTCACAAATAAGATCGGAGCGTCCCAAGATAGGACACTTAGTTGAAGAATTTCAACTACTCTTATAACTCTTTCAACACTTCTGATGTCATTCAATATGGAGGGATAGAGATAGGACGAGTGTCGGGAAGAATATCCACTACTAAAAAAATAGTAAAAAGAGACTTATAAAAGAGACCTCATGAGGTCTCTTTTCGGAAAAAAGAGACCAAAATAGAGACCTCAACGGTAGATCACTATAATGTAGGTTACTTTTAAGTAGAGACCTCAAGAGGTCGCCGAATAGAGACCTCACGAGGTCATCAATAATTTGTCCAATTTTTTTTTAAAAGAGAGACCTCATGAGGTTGCAATTTTATAATTTACTTTTTTTTAAATTTTTTAATAAAGGTGGCTTTATGAGGTCAATATTATATTATTTATTTTTATTTTATATTTACAAAATGAGACCTCGTGAAGTCTCTTTACTGCATTTCCAAAAAATAAAATGCTGAATAGAGACCTCACGAGGTCTCTTTCTTGATGCAAAAAGAGACAACATGAGGTCTCTTTACTGCATTGGTACAAAATAAAATGTTGAATGGAGACCTCATTTATGAAAATAAGATGCAGAAAAGAGACCTCAGAGGTCTCTTTATTGAAATTTCTGGAAAATAATATGCAAAAAAAAAGACCTCATGAGGTCACTTTTCTTGAAAAAAAACTGGCAGTTAATTGTCATTTCAGCAACTTTTCTTCACCTGTCATATTAATTTAGTACCTCTCTAATTAGCTAAATCAAGATCAAAGAGCTTCAAACAATCAACTGATGCAATACATTTACTAAATATTCTCTTATCAACTCAATTGCAACTGACCTTTAACGTAATTCGAAATTAAACAAAAATCATAATATCCATAAGTTATATATAATAGAATTTCAATGTTATCGTGCATTCACAAAACAAACAACTCCCATAACAAAATTATAAAGTAAAGAACTTAGATTATCTATCACAACTCTAAACTTCACTAATGTGGTAGTGTGTCTGCCACATGATCATCATCTTCTTCATTACTAGTAGACTCATCTGTCATATTTCTTTGTTGATCATACACTGAATATCGAGTAGGTTGAGTTTGAGGGGGTAGAGTAGGGAAAGTGATATCACTGGAACAAGGGGTAATCCCTCCTGAAGCAAGTAATACATCGAATTAAGACTTAAGACCCGCAAACTCTAAGTCCCTTCGCCTTTCCCTAGCCCGCGAGTCTTCGACTTGGCTAGATAGCTCATCAATCTTTTGCTCCATAGCCAAATTTTTCTTCATTCATCATCATAGGAACTATTTAGACCTTCAAACTCAGAAGAAAATTCACGAAATGTTTGTTGCGGCATTCCTTAGGCATACTGATACGCTCAAACTTACTTCTCAAATAAGAAGTAAAGCGGTCGTGTCAAGTAAATAACCCAACTAGTGAGGTTGGGATCGTTCCCACGAGGAAATAGTCTAGACTTAACTTCAACCTATTATTACTATCGTTTGGTCAATAACTTCCTTGGAATGTAAAAATATAAAAAGGGGGGTTCTATCTCTAAATAAGTGAAAATAATCAACGAACTTGAAAGAGACACTTAACAGCTTTTAATGTTGGGTTTTAATCAATTAATCAAAGTAAATAGGGTTTAAGTGTTCCCCACAGGTTCATAACTTGATAACTCTGACTATAACAATTCTTTCCTAGTATCTTGCATGCAAAGTGATAAGTTATGTATTTCTAAATCCTTGGTCCGGCATCTAGAAAATCTCACTCAGCAACTTGGTCCGGCTATTTGTGTTGCTATCCTAAACCTTATCCTTACCTCATATTAAGCATCGTATTCAATATTTGACTAAGTTATTACCTCGTACCAATCAATACTAGCCTATTAGATAGTATACACTAAATCTATGTTAATAATTCTTTTCCTATTATCTACCTCTTTGGTCCGGCAAGTAGCATTAAGGCAAGTTCTAACGTTGGTCATCCGTTAAAAAGACTTCTAAACGAAAGAATTATTAATACATGCAAGACACTATTCTAGAATTGTTCTTTTAATTAGGGTTTATCTCATTATTTGCCTATGGTTCCCACAACCCTAGTTATGGAGTTTAGTTGCTCATAGCCATAAACACAATATTCAAATATATTAAATAAGAATTCATGTACTTACTTCAATGAGAAAGAATAAAGTCCGAAAGTTTGCTTGATTAATCACCAAAAATCACTTGTAAGAATCTCAAAATCTAACACTAATCAACAACCAAAAGTTCCAATAATCCAACAATCCAAAAGTCTAATAATATGGAGCCTAACAATACGGAGTCTAACCTCAAAAACGAGGTTTTTTTGAACTATTTATAAAAAATAAAAAACCTAATTAAACAAGGATTCTAATTGCTGGAAATCTGCCAAAACGCGGCTGGGTCGACGGACCTCGCGACGGACCGTCGTGGTCGCGACGGACCGTCTCCATCGTCCCATACTTAGCAATTTCTTCTGCTGCTCTCTTCAATCTCCTCGACGGCAAGTATGACGGACAGTCATAGGCACAACGGTCCGTCGAGGGTCTTCGTTTCAAAACACTTCAACTCTTGGAATCTGGGTATTGGGATCACTTCTCTGAACTTCATGACGAACCGTCATAGCCACGACGGACCGTCACAAGCTACGTAACCCCACACTTGGTCAGACTTTCCCATCTTCCTTCAGCAGCTTCTCTACGCTGCCACCTACGAATCGTCACAAGCACGACGGACCGTCATCAGCTCCTTAGGTGGTCTCTTCTGCATTTCTTCGCTCAAAATCTCCGCATTCAACTTTGGACAGATTTCCTGCAAAACAAAGAGAAACTCATATCAAAACTAGCACAAAAAGACTTTCGGACACACTAAACTTAAGGAAAAAATATTAATTATACCGTGAAACCACGGTATATCACATACCCATATCTACTCGACCCACCAATCAATTCCAACCACACTCTTTCATCTTGTTCTTGAGTAAGTGACATACCTCGATTTTCTTCTGGCTGAGTTTTTCGTAGATCCTCCAAAGCTTGAAGATATCGATTATAAATTGAATGGTATTAATATTAGAATATAAATTTAGAAAATAATTAACTACTATTTTAAATTAGAGGCTTACATAGGTCACTTCAGTTCACGGCTCAACCCACACGTCTGAATCTTTAGGATTTTTCTTCTTTCTTACAAAATCATAGTTCTCTGAACAGTTTGTCTTAAATGATATTAGTTCTAAATTTGCAGTAACATTCACAACATCTTAATGCCAAATTAACAAGTACAACTAACCTAACAGAAAGCATATCCATTTTTTATAACGAATTTATAACTAACCGGAAGAGTCGACCGCAAGGCTGGTAGTAAGAGCTGCCTGGATCTGCAAAAAAAACAAACAATAGCATCGTTAAAGATGATTCACCCTAAAACTCATTGATTCATTCAATTTAACAAACCCAATTTCGTTGTTATTTGTTGAAAACAAGTAGAGTTGGTGCTGGATTTGGGATGAGATTGTTTTACACACATTTTTTATTAGCTAAAGTTCAGAATTTCAGGGACAGTGCTCTGATGCAGTTTCAAAATTCTTGGTTGTTGCAATGACTATTCATCAAAACATTAATTCACCAAATATAGAAACAAGGTTTACTCATAATCATACTACTAATACAATGAAGCTATGTATCCAACTGTCACCTTATTCTTTTTAGGCTATTAATTCTTTACTTGTTATGGAGATAGATCTCCATCAAAGCGCCTAGCAATAAATGTCAAGCTATACCCGTTGTTGGATCTCACTCGGTATGTTGTTGAAGAGGGAAGATTGCTGATAATAATGATTTAAATAACAAATCAAATGCAATATGATAAACTAAGGCTACTTTTCAATTGCTAATGCAGCAAAAATTAAGCTATTTTACAGCACTGAACATTCTCATTTTCTCATATAAGAGATAAAACAAGACAGCACGCTATAATCTAAATCCTGCTGAATTTCTAAGTTTACCGACTTCCACAACTGAGATAATCCAACATTTCGAAACCATAGCTCCTACTAACAACTGATGTAACATTTAGGGACATCCCAAAAGGCTAAAATGACACCCTTTTTTTTCAACATCTTAAATTTCAGCCTTATAATTGACAAAATGATAATATCAGACACAGAGCCAGCAAATTGCTATAAACAACTACTTGTCCTATAAAAGACTCAAAACCAAGTTCTGCATAAATCAATAAATTGTTAACTCAATATAAAGTGACAATTTATCAAGCCAAGAATTGATAAGCAAATACAAACAAACATCAATATCTAAATGCAACAAAGAAATAACCACAGAACTAGTGTTTGTCCATAGATTTGAATTAATAAAAAAATCAAATTTATCTTCAAAATTTCACCCCCAGTAACAAAAGATCAATTTTTTTCAAGAAAACTACATGCCCAAATACAACTTTAAATTTTAAAAATCACAAATACAACCAAACAAGATCTTTAGTTTACTAGAAGAGGGATTTTTTTGTAAACAAAGAAAAAAAGAAAAGAGGGTGGGGAAGATGAAGATGAAGAGACAGAGAGTTTACTGTGAGTTTTTCCAGGTTCACCTTTATTTCAAGAGAAAGAAATAGACACAGAGGATTGAAGCGACGACGAAATCTTGGGCTTCAAACCGAGCAAGTTTCGATGGTGAAAACGAAAACTTCAACTGATGGTGAAAACTGAAGCTTCAAACCGAGCGATATCGAGTCTACACTGTGGAAGACGACTTAGGTTTTTTTTTTAGCTTCTAGCGGGAAGGAGATGACATAAATTAAAAAAACCTCTTATTTTAATTTAATAAAATTAGACACTCCATTATAAATTATTAATTAAAAAGTTTGACTTATAAAAGGGATATTATTTAACAGGAATATTATTTAACAAAATTGACTAATAAAAGGAACATTATTTAATAAATTTGACTAATAAAAGGAGACCTCACGAGGTATCTAAACTAAAATAATATATTTTAAATTAACAAATAATGACCTCATGAGGTTGCATACTTTATGGGAATCATATTGTTAAAAAAAATTATTGATACAAATAGCGACCTCATGAGGTCTCTTTTTAGTGACCTATTTTGGAGGTCTCCTTTTGCCCTTTTTTTTTTTAGTAGTGATCTATATCGAAGTATGTTTCTCTCTTAGGAGGGACTCCAGGAAAATCGTCTAGAAAGACCTCTGGAAACTCTCATCCTACTGGAACTGATTGAATAGAAGGTGTCTCAACACTAGAGTCGTTAACTCGGACTAAGTGATAGACACAACCCTTGCAAACTAACTTTCTCGCCATAAGAAAAGAAATAAAACAACCCTTAGGCACTGTTGAACTGCTATTCCACTCTATAACTGGCTCATTAGGAAACTCATACTTAATAACTCAAGTTCTACGATTAATTGAGGCATAATAGACATGAAGTCAATTCATACCTAGAATGACATCAAAATCTATCATGTCTAACTCAACTAAATCAGTCAAGGTGCTTTTGTGATTGATAGAAATGGTACAATCACGATAAACTCTCTCATCTAGAATACACTCACCAACAGGTGTAGAAACACTAAAGGACTCAAAAAGTTGCTTAGGAAGAATATCATAATTCATGGCAATGTAAGGATTCACAAAATATAGATTCATTCCTAGATCTAGCAAATCATAAACATCAAAAGTGAAGACTTTAATCATACTAGTGACAACATCTTGAGAATTCTCTTGCTAGCATAAAGGCGGTTCGCTCCTCCGCCTATCCCTAAAATAGCTCCTCTAGGTGCAGCTCTGTTTGGTGGAGCAACTAAAGAAGATTGAGCTCCATTGTACCTATTCCCATTACCTTGCTTGCTCTTAGGGCACTTTTTGGTAAAGTGATCCTCTTGACCACATTGAAACAACTAGTTGCCATCACGACAAGTACCTAGGTGGTTCTTACCACACTTAGCACATGTAAGAGCCTAATTACCTCCGTGTGTCACACTACCTTGCGATTGTGCAGGTCTAGCTTTGAAATTCTGTGAAATCTGACTATTGTACTTACATTTGTTCCTCGGTGTAGGTGAACTAGCAGATGATGGAGTAAGTCCTTTTGCTTTTGTTGAAACTATGAACAGTTGGCATTAATCTTCTGCTGCTCGGACTCATTCCGTGACATCTTAGCTTTCTTATTTCCGAACTTTTTCCTATCCCTCAACTTATCCTTTTCAACCTCCTGCACATGAATCATCAACATCTTTATGCCTATGTCTTCTATCAAAATAGATGTTTTTCCTTCCTTACTTGAAAGATGATCCAACCCAAGAACGGACAAACTCATCTTGCTCTTTATGTCAACAACCATCTCTCATGCAAAGTGAAAAAGTTGGGTTAACTTCAGGCTATACTCATGAACACTGATCGATTCCTACTTGAGAGAGAGGAATTATCGTACCTTTGCTTGTCTTAGTTTCTGGGGAAATAAACACCCTAAGAAAGCATTCTCGAACACAACCAAAATTAACATCGTTGCACCCTCAACTCTACCTTTCTTACACTGGTCAGACCAGATTATAGCGACACTCTTCAGTTGATATGCATCTAGTTCTACTCTCTCAACATCAGCAACACACATAACCTCAAACACTTTATGTAGTTCCTCTACAAAGTTTTTTTGGATCCTGAGTGACACTTGAATCAATGAAGCTTGGAGAATTCATCCTTCAGAACTCAAGGATCTTAGAAGTATAAGTCATTTCCAATCGATTCTCTGTCCAACTTGATTGGTCACAACCTAACTCAAAATCGGATAGATTTATGGAACTCATCATTGGTGACCTCTCCTTGGAGTTGCACTTCAGGTGCATTAGGTACCCCTTGTTCCTCAACATTTCTCCTAGCAGGACGACCTCGAACAACTTTTCGTGGAGGAATAATATGAAATATACGTGCAAGCACAAGTTAAGCAGAAACATTCATAGAGATAAACTCTATCACACAAAATGAGTATGAAAAAAGTGATATAATTTCTAAATGTTGCAGCCTCCTAATTATATATGTGGCGCGGTTCATAGCGATAACTAGGACTCAAAATACACGACTTTTAGACTCCTTAGGACTCTTGAACTCTTTGCTTTGATACCAAGTTTGTCATGTCTGAGCCTACACCCTGGGCGGGACTGATACTCGAGCACTATTGTTGTCCCTAAGCGTGCCCTTGCCTTGGCTTTCTACTAAGTGAAAGACTTTACTAAACAAAGATAATTTCATGTAATAAGTTAGGATTCATAAAGAAACATTCACTAGCCAAAATGGCAAATGAAGGCTCATAGAAAAACAACTGAAATGAAAACAAACAACAATTAACTAGCTATGAAGCCTCTAATAACTACAGTGAAAATCAGGACAAGACCCCGATCATCCTAACAACAAAGTTGAAATGATAAAGTAATAACAAAGAGGATCCTTCAGAAAGTAATAAAACTCTACAAACGACTTTGAGATTCTCTACTGGATCAACAAGGAGTTGGATGTTGATCCTTGTTACCTGTATCTGCATCATAAAATGATGCAGGACAAATGACATCAATACATTGAATGTACAACATGTAACAAAAACTAAACATGACATAATTTTGAACTGTGTTATGAAGAAACACTTACCTCACTTTAGTAAACTCATGGATACTCAATTTAATGTAGAAATAAACAACAATTAAGATGTAGTTTATATAAAGCATTGAGACACTATTCTCTAATTGACAACCATCAATATGAGCTATGTAATGATACAACATCTCGTCACGCTGCCAGAACTCTCCTATAACTTGTCGGGATATAGAACGCCTCAACTAAGTGGATCCACTAGTCTATGCTAAAAACATTAAGGAATCATCTAAAAAGTATGACCCTTTCTACCCACGTTGGCTATATGGTTTATGGAGACTTGAGTAATTATGACTCCGTCTCCATATCAGTGCTCAATACTACTCTCAAAATACTCAACTCATATGTTAAAACATAAATCTTTCCGTGAGGCTTGAGATTATCACTAAAAACTTATCTCTTAAAAGAGATGGAACTCAAAACTACTCATGAAAACTCATTTGGAAATCATTGTTTCCTTTAATCCTAAATGTGAAAACATTTACTCTTTAGGAATATGTAGTCCCCATGTAACATTTTAAATAAAATGAACTGGGCTCTACTCTTTCTCAATGCTTAAGTTTTAAAACAAGTTTAAAAGATTTGTTAAAGACTTCTTAAAATGACTCGAAGAACCCTCAAGACTTGATTCTCAACTCTACTTTGAATTTGATTTATGAATTCAAGGTTGTGATTTGTGATAGGAAATATCTCATGATGTTTAGCAGTGTTTTCATATAGTTAAACATGAGAAACGATCAAAAAATCATTGTCTGAAAGCAAGTCCGCGATGCAGAGATGCACTTTAATATTTGGTCACAAAAAAAATTTTGAGCCAAAGGGTTTGACACCTCTTTGTGATGCGGAAAGAAAATTTCCAATTCTTGAGGAATAGGTCCGCGTCCATAACGCAGACTTGGTACACAGATTTGCCAACTTTTTCCTTCTTTGTTTTCTAACCCCAATTCGCCAAAACTCAATTCTTTTTCTCAAATCCTCTTTAGATTCAGATATCCATCACATGAACAAAAGAACCTATTCATAAATTATTCTAAAATCAAAATGATTTCTCAAGAACTGAGCAATCCCAACTTAACTCAAGAACAAAAGTCAATATTCAAGAACACAATTCAAAATCATCAACTTTCAACTTTCTATAATGATTTTCGCTGAAATAAACATGATTGGTATGTGGGGGAATGAACTCAATGCTATGAAAGTCTCACGTACCTCTTTAGGGATCAACCCTTGGCGAAATGACTTTGATTCCGCAAGAAATCTCCACGAACGCTTTGACTTTTCTCCTTTTTTTCTCTTATTTCAAATTCCTAGCGTAATTCTTAATTGCGCAAACTGAACTAACTCTGTTTACACCCCAAATAAATTTCCAAAAATTGAAATAAATTAATTGGGTAATGAAAATACCAAAATACCCCTTTAAAATTTGGTTAACTTTCCTTATCCAAAGAACCTGACTTCAAACGGGCATGTCTGTTCATACGAACTCAAAAATTAGCAAACTCGGTGGTGTTGAAAAGATAATTAAAAGGTATTTCATTTAATATCGTGTAGCCCACCTAACTCATCTTGTACCAGGAGTCATAGTTGTTGAAATTGTCTCAAAACTCATACTTAACATACTTATCAAATTTTAGATTTTTGTTCTTTCCAAAAAATGGTTCTTTCTAATTCTAACTCTTTCGAATAGCGGGGTGTTACATTTATTACTTTAATGAAAGTAAATATTTAATTTCTTTTTATTTAATTTTTTATTAAAATAAATAATCCACATATCGATATATTTGATCATTTTCATAAGTATTGTTTTTAAAAAGACAATTGAAGGCCAACTTCAAATTTTCATTTTGATGATCAACTTTTTTCAATTAATTTTCTTATAAAAATTATTGGAGATGCCTCTGTTTGTTCTTTATTTGAAATTTATTATGAAAATGAAGTTCAAGATGAAGTTATGTTTAGCTATAAATTTTGCAAACGAGAAACGAAAATACTTCATATGGAATTATTGAAAAGGAAAAAGGGTCTAATATACCGCTTAAATTTATTGTTTAGAGTCAATATATCTCTCATTGTAAAATTCACTCAAATATATATATATATATATATATATATATATATATATATATATATATATATATATATAAAATCATG